TGCAACTTTGATCCATCCTTCGTCTGCTGCTTCGGAATTAATCTCAGGATCTAATATCTCTGCTCCAATTGCCCACAGCTTTCCAGCATGATCGTAGTAGATCACCGAAGGGACCTTTTCTATGCGATCTGCATGGTGTTGACGAGGAAACCTGGGAACGGTCGATCAGAGTCATGAAACCGGCCAGCGTCGTGGGTGATGATCACACCTATCCACATTCCTGATCACAGGGACTTCGCCAGGGTTGAGGATGCAATAGGAGATGGAACTGAACGATGTGCCGATATCAAACGCCAGGCACAGTCTAGTGGACTTTCCGTTGTAAGGCTGTTGCTCGAACGCTTGCATTAGGGTGGGTGATATGTTGCGTTTTGGAGGTGAGAAAGGGACATAGGTCGTTCAATCCGGATGGGCAGAACCGAGCGACACGCTGCAAACACGATGGGTCTCATTTCCGATGACCCGATGACGCTTGGTGGCCCAAAACTGAATAGGGTGAGCAAGATGCCGCATCTAACAGAGATCGTCACCGTAGGTTCAGTATAGCTAGTCGAGTCCCAGAGTTGGGAACCCTTCGATGATCGGATGGATTTACATTCTCCATCTCTTTCCCCTTGACGAAGGAGGTCGTCGGCGCGGTTGTGGCAGAGAGGCGCTTCGTGGCGAAATCCTTTTTCGTTTGCCAAGATTCTGGAGCAACCATGTCGGGTTAGACCTCCGAATATTTGAATTATCGTCTGCGCCCAGACACCCATCAGTTGCCAATACATCGCCCGTCTGATGTGAAAGCAGCCGAGCATGTAACTCACACTTCCCTCATAAGCACCGAGTGCAACGCTTGGCCGAATTTTCAGCGCCCCCGTTGCAGATCGCGTCCTGTTCTCTCAAACGACTTTTTCCCCAAGGGCGCATCCCGCATTCGTTGGCTCCCTGAGTCTTCCATTGCACTCGGCCATCTACAGCCATTCTCTTCCAGCTCCTGTCCCTCACCTGAAAGCACGCTCTTTGCCGCTAATTTTATTGAATAACCCGCCCGAGTTCTCAACATGAAATCATTCCTTTCTATTTTGTGCGTTCTGGCAGCCACCGTTTCAACAGAGGCATTTTGGGTCATGACCATGAGTGAGTTCCCCCTTCGACTTCCCGCGATACGCCCATCCAGGGAGGCGGGGAATCCGCCTTTGTCTTGTACCCCGACTCACGGTGTTACCAGAAAACGTTCTCGTCACCGAGCGCGTCGACCCCATTAGCTCGCCCGGTGTGATTGCTCCCCACGTTCACACAGGTATGTACCGCGTAATCGCTGCAAGTCGTCTTTACTAGCAGCGGGTTCAGCCTGACCTTCGATCCCAGTCACCGGCGGCAGCAACTTTGGCCCTCATGCCACCTCGGATGATCTCCGTGCCAGCAAATGCACTTCAGGACCAATCGTCGAGGACAAGTCTAATTACTGGACACCGACCTTATACTTCCGCTGGGCCAACGGAGGTTTCACAAGCGTCGACGGAACCGTTTCCGTCAAATACCTTTTCAACCCTGGCGAAGCCACCCCGTTCCCCGATGACTTCAAAATGCTTGCTGGTAGCCCGGCTTCGCGATCCAAGAACGAATCTGACCCTATCTCGGACGAAAATTTCCTATGCCTTAGTCCTTTGGCCCAGGCCTCACGTCACGATGCTCTCCCCGCTCTCCCGTGTACGGGTGGACTCCGTTCCCAAGTCGTACGTCCCCTTTGTCATATTCACTTTCGGTAACCAACTCACGCCCGATAGACGTTCCCAAGCTGCTGGGATGGAAAGGTGGTATCCTTGTGACGATCTTTGAAATGCGTTGACTTATCGAACTTCTCGTAGAATCTTGATTCCCGTGACCATAAATCTCACGTCGCCTTCGCAACTGGTGGGAAGTGCACAGATCCTGCGTACCCCGTCACCCTTCCCCAAATCCAAGTCGAGGTTCACTGGGATACCTCTGGGTTCTACTCGCTCGCAAGGCAAGCCCTGAACCCCAAGCAGCCTTTTGTATTCTCCAACGGTGACGCTACCGGATACGGATTCTACGCCACATTCCTGAACGGTTGGGAAACCAAAGTCCTCAAGCAAGCCGTCGACGAGTGCACTTGCGGAATGTATGGGGACATCAAATGCTGTGCGGATGCTGGCATATTCACTGTCGACACGACTTCCCAATGTCACATCACTCCGCATGTAAAGGAACAGGGTAAGTTTCATCTTCTACCTGGTGCTCGGCGCCTGGCCCCTCTTACCATCCTCGTTTCATAGTGCAAGGCACTCTCCGTCACTTGCCGGGCAGCGACCTTGGCTTGGAATCGGGACCCCAGAGGCATTTCGTCACCCCCCCTGTTCTGACGACAGACGTGATCGTCTGGACCCAACCGGTCATTCAAAAACGCCCCAACTGGCACAGGATGATGCGTCGACGTGGTTGAACGAAATACTCAATACCCCTGATATCATAATTTTGCTCTCTTTCCTGTGCTGTGTTTTGATTCGGTTTCTTGTTTGTACCTTCTCTTGTTCCTCCCATTCACTCAGCTTGTTGTCTTACCAACTCAACTTGGTGCTCGATGCACGCAACCCTCGTGTAGATCGCGTCGATATTATCTATCCTTGTACCGTTTACCATATATACCACGCTTGCGTGTCCTTCCGCATGCTTAAGTGCCAGTTTTGAATCTAAGAATCGTCCATTCGTTCAGAGTACACAGGGTCTTTCTCTCCTACAGCCTTTGGGGCCACGCTCATAGCCGCAACCAACGTCCTCGTCCTGTCCTTGATCGCAGCCTTCATTTCCCTATGCAACACGTGGCCTGCACTGGTCGCCAACTGAAAAATCTCCTCAAACCTATCCACGTGTAACCTTGTCTCCATTGTGAGGAGAGTAATGTTCCCTGTCCTGGGCATCATTGCCACCGTGAGGTGAGGGATGTCGTTTTCTTCTAGAGTCGTCAGGTCGAGGAGGGGTGAGGCAGACTGCACGCCCCCAGTGACTGCACAGACGAAGTCCAAAAGGGGTATTCCGGCAGCGGCGAGTGCCAGAGTGGTGGCGTTGATGCATGCCTGCAAGACGCCCCCATCTTGCTGCAGAACGTTAATGTAGATATCGACCTGGGAGCGGGGGTATAAGCTTGTTTGAATGGCGGGCTCAAAAGTTGCCTTGATGGTCGATGCGAAATCCAAAACGCGTCTGGGGTAGGCGAAGCGCCGCGATACGACCAAAAAAAAATTAATCCAGGCGTAGTCCAGAAAGATAATTCCCATAACTCACTTGTCGTTTCGGGAACGTTTTCGCCTTTCACCCATGCTGAAGGGCGCGATCGTGACTTCAACGTTGATATTTGCCCTGTCGTGAAGAGTTTGGGACCGCATCTTGGCTTCTCGAGGCCCAAAAACCGATGCGGAGACCTGAGTCAAACCATGCGAAAGTACGACAGAACCATCCGCTGAGCCCTGCTGAGAGAGATCGATGATAATGTCCCTCAGCTCGTATTGTTTCCGTCCATCAGACCGGAAGCCACCGTCGTTCAGGATCTCCACCCTCGATGCCTATTCACAGCAAGAAAAAGTTGGCTTCTCAGAACGGGAGTGAATGATGTGTCAACTTTCTGTGTTCGTACCATGACACGAGGGGTGTGGTCACTGACAGGAAAGTTCAATCGGTTTTTGATGATCGGGCGGCGCGTTCCAGGTCGTCCTCGACGCGTCCACCCAACCCCCACGCACCCCTCTCCTCGATGCGTGCCCCCAAAAGTACCGAGGAATTTATGCAAGTCGTTCGGACGGCAGACTTGGCCGATTTGAAATCCCAGAGGGAGATATTCAGCACGTAGTCCCAGCCTCTCCCCTTCTCATCGACAGTGGACTTACAGGAGGAAGTCAACACAGGTTATTGGGATAAGCATTTCGACAAATCTCAACCCGCGGTGGTCGATATGCTATGCTACGCGGTTAATGGTATCCTATGTCCCACTTTTATCATCGAGCAGACAGAAGACCTGCTCGACCTTCTTGCACAGCTGGAGGCCGTCAGGCGTCACGTTGTGAATACCTGCCACCATGTCCTCCGGCTGAACAAGAGCTACAAGAATGATGCGCGCGCCAGGAAAGTCGACGGGTTTGCTCTTCTGCCTGACGATGAGGAACGAACCCTTGAATCCGTTTCTTCGTGGGCACGCCAACAAGAAGCGAGGAAAACGTATGTGTCCCTTGTTACGTGGTCTTGTCTGAACGTAGGTTTGGCTCCCTATGCTTGTTCGGGTGTGCCCTGACCCTAACCAACAGTACGTTCAAGATCTCCTTGCAAAAGGGAGACTCAGTGACGCGGAAAAGATGCTCTCGGATTGGTACGGCGACGATCCTCGCGGGTCCCTTCCACCAAGACCATTTTACGTCGACTGGGATGAAAAGGATAGGAGGGTCGTCGCAGATCGGAGGGAAGACGTCGCTCTGCTAATTTCCGACGCACGAGCTTGGGAAAAGAGGCATGGGTAAGCCTGGCTGGTCTCCCCCAAATACGCCGAACGCTGACTCAGGTCGTAGCCGTATGGAATACACGCAATACGTTGGACACCTGAGGAAAGATCTTGGCATCGACGTTTCTCACTTCCACAAGAATATTGGCGCGATGGCCGACGGCTACTTAAAGGGTGTTGCGGACGCAGATTCTCGGCTACGTGCCGTCCTGAATTTGACGTTTGGAGCTTCAGGATCTGGCTAGGTTGCGGATCTCATCTCACTTCCAACAAGCACAGGGTTCCGCCGGCTTGCTTACAGTGTTTACGGTCCGATGCACACTAACGACTTCCAGTCCCTCCGCAAATGAAGTCTCGGGAATTATACGAAGTACTATTACCTTTCACCTCGGCATTCCATTCCAATGCAAAAAGTGATCAGCGAGTACTAGGGGTGTCTGATCTGAGTGGTTGTTCGTGAACTATCGTGCAAAACGGGATAAACCCGCGATTGAAAAAGAAACCAACATGACAGAAGTGGGGTTCGAACCCACGCCCTTTCGGACTAGATAGGTTGCCATGACATCCTGATTCTAGCGCCTTAGACCACTCGGCCATTCTGCCTTGAATCTTCCTGTCCAGGTCAAAATTATAGACATTTAAAGGTTTTCATCCACGCGCCTTCCACACCTCGGTTTGCTCCGTCCGTCTCTGTCGCAAAGGACCGAAATGCGACGTGTTCCCTGCTTCCTCACTGGCACCACCAAATACAAAAGCTTAATATGACTTGTCCACGTGTAAGGGGAATGAGGTCCCTTCGATCCAGACATGTTGCCTGCGTGCTGCCAGAACACATGCGTCCTTCACGCAGCTCTACAATGCCTCCTACTAGAGGTGCGCACTACTTAAAGGGCCGACTAATCATCATCTCATGCAGCATCTCACCCTTCCTATCTTATTCCTTTCTTATCGATCCTCCTGCTGTAGCTGAGCTATGCGTGTGGGTCGACCGATGTACCGAATTACTCTCAGCTTCTTACGATTCCTCTCCCGTCTCTTCTGTTTCCCCTCCCAGTACGCACCTTGTCTCCCTGCCTTCAGAAGGTCTGAAAAGAAGGGAGTCAGGCCGTTCACCAGTGGAAACGATTTGCGCGACACTAGCGATCTAGAGCTGGAGTTCGATTCCGAGGACGATTACGAGATCGTCAACCTCGGGGGGCTCCGCACCCTTGAAGACAGGCTTGAGCGCGCGCTTGCGGAATTGGATGTGAAGAAGGGGGAGTTACATATGTTGGACGATAGGGGGAAGAGGGAGCAGAAAGAACTCGCGGATGCGACTCAGAAGCTGGCTTCTGCGACCGAGTACCTCGAGTTACTCGCGGAGGACATGGAAAAGAAGAAGAGCGAGTTCACGACCAGTATAAGCCGTCTACAGGAGGAAAACCGCGGATTGGTTCAGCGACTTCAAGAGCAGACAAGTCGGACCGCCTCCCTCGCGGCTGAGCTCGCCGAAGCCAACGGCATCGCCGCAACTCGCGAAAAGGACATCGAGACACTTCGGGCTCGCCTCAATGGCACTCTCTCTACCGTGGAATCACAGTCCGTTGAACTTGCGAACATACGCACGCACCTCCCTACACCCGACACCGTCGTGGACACCGACGCAATCAAGCTCGTCGGCCGACTCAACTCCGAGATCTTCCAGGCCGCTGCTCTACTCGCTGAGGCTTGCAGTTCTGTCAAGACCCGGCCTCTCCCAGATGCTGACAATCACGCGGCCAGCACCCGCGTCAAGGAGATGTTCGGTACCAAGTTCGTAGACCTCGTCCAGAACGTCCCCCACGAAAACAACCCGGCAGTGCTTCGCATCGCATTCCAGGCGTGCATCGTCGTGTTCGCGGATTGGATAGGCGCGGCGTGGCACTTTCAAGCGGAGCCGTCTCCTCAATTCTTCGGCGAGGTGTACAGGAACGTCTGGTTGGATGGTACGTGGCTTTTATTCTTGAGTCGATCAAGCGTTTGAATATCTGACATACCTCTTGCTTCACAGAGGAACAGGCAGTTGCAGGCCACTGGCGTGCTCAAACCCGCAGACAAATCCAGAAACTCCTCGACCCTAACCCAGACGCAATCCGCAAACGATTCATTATGCACATCTCCGATTCTCTGGCGGATGTCATCCTCTGCGCCGGCATTCACAACAAACACGAGCAGATGTCCGAGACCATCATCCGTATTGCCAGTGACAGGATCTCTGCGGTCGTGGAAATGGCGCTGAAGCTCAACAGGATGTTGGGCGAGGACGTGACGGCAGCGGATATCGAAACTACCTGGGCACACGCCCAGGATATCTATGACCCCAAGTGGATGGAAGATGATTATGGAGACTGGAAGACTTATGAAGCTCGAAGGGACCTCAAAGTGCTGTGTACCACTGACCTCGGCCTTCGAAGGCTCGTAAAGGCAGACAACGAGGCCGGTTGGATCGACAAGGTCCTGATCAAACCCAAAGTCATTCTCGAGGAGATCTTGAGCTCCTCTCCTATCGAAGCCAAGTAAGGGACCATGTTAACCGTTATGACCACTCTTTATTTTGCCTAGTAATCACTATAATTTTGGAACATACGATCCGTGCCTCATGCTTTTCCCCATTTCATAATACCGAGTTTTCGATCCCGTTTCTCAAGTTTTGGACTTGACATCGTAGCCATTTATTGGTGTTAATTTCCGTACATGCATCGATCTGTGACCCGTATATATACATATATTAATAATTTATGTTTAAGGATGGGTTAGACCATCTCCTTCAGCGGAGGGAGTCGCGCGCTCCGCGTTGTTGGTGAGATGCCCTGCGAATACTCTTGAATCATCTGAAAGTGCCCATTCTGTTAGTCGGTTGTTGTAGATGCAACAATGTTAATGTAATACCTGGGTCATCCGCTCCGCGATTTTTTGATGCATACACTGGTTACGTATGCTGGGTGGTCCTGCGGTATCGGGTTCACCCTCTCGCAAAACCTTGTGTATTGAACGAACGCAGACCTCCTCCTGGAAGTCAAGATAAAGTTTGCGATTGTACCCTCTCTGAAGGGACAGGTTCAGCGCCCGTGTGAAGAGGTCAATTGAATCATACCTCTGTAGCCCTAGCTTTTTCGGCATAGAGGTGGCTTCTGTGAATCAGGAAATGGTCCGCTAGAACATAGAATTCCATTCCAGCGACGGTCATTCCGAAGAGACACGCTGCCTTATTTGCACCATATCCAATAAAACGTTCATCGCACCTGTCACCGTCCGGTGAATGCATTGCCGGTGGAAAGAACCCGAGGCTTACCATGCGGCCTTGTTGCTGAAGATGGCGTACGGCTCGTAAGCATTGTCGTGCTTGAGGACTTGGTATACTTGACCTGACCCGGGAGGGATGGAATAGTATTTGGTGTAATTTGTGCTTTGATGACCGCGCGCCCAGGCAACATGAAAGGGGGTGACCTTGGGGGGGTCCGAGTGTACCAAATCGAGAAGTTCCTAAACGTTTGTCAAATAAGGACGATCTGCGACAAACATGAGGTAGCCAACCGTTTTGTCACGGGGGAAGGTATCAGGATTCATGCCGTCCCCTTGCCTGGCGTACTCAAAAGCAGGGACTACGAGGGCAACGCTCCCTTGTACGAACCGTTCCATTAGCAAATGGGCATTGTCCACTCCCGAGCCTAGCAGGTGTTGCTTCAAGTTGTATCTAATGAAAGACCGAAAATCGGTGGAGGGAACAAAATCGACGTCTAGCATCATCACGAAGTCTGTGCGGGCATATAACCGAGCCAAGTTTCGCCAAGCGTTGAACTGCCTAGACCCTTCAGACATTTCGAATGGGGAGAGAACGAGATGAAGGTCAACGTAGGTTGAGAAGTCTGGTGAGGATGTGTATATGGTGTGGAGATCGACCAGGATGTCCAGAGAGAGCAAAGATACGTGTATTGTCACAGATATGGGGCCTAAACGAGCGTCAGCGCGGATAACAAAACACATAGCGGAGGCAAGCATACCTTTATATCTCTGGACTAGGTTTTGGAAGACAGAGAACCTATCGCTTGATATCAAAGTTGTCACGGTTATGTCGTCGTTTTCGAAGTTCCCAGCAGCGCGGTAGTAATATGGAATGATCCTCGAAGGGTGCATAAGTCGGGGGAAGGCTCTAGATAAGATTGGATCCCAAGCATCAAGAGGGCAGTGGGCGGAGAGCGAGAAGTTTGACCAGAGGAACTCTTCGGCCTGTTGAGGAGTCATCTTGGAGGGTAAAATTATCCGGGGAGGTGACCCGGCAAGGTGGTTTCGCGCCAGAGACCGGTAGCGGAGAAGAGGCAGGCCCAAGTTCCAGAGCGTATAAAATGTCGCCAGTATAGCATATGCATGGAGACACCAAGAGAGAAACGAGCGAAGTGGTTGCGGCCGTTGTATCATTAGCAGCCGTGTAGACGCGGCAAAGATAGCGGTTCTGAAGCAAGCTTGATCGACGTGCACTTCCCACACGACTGAATGCTAGCATCTCGACAAGCAACCTTCTGCTACGAGAATAGTCGCTCATAGAAACACGTTCTGGGTTCTGGGGAGCTCTACTTGTCACACAGCTCAGCACTCAGCACGCTTAAGGACCAATCTGCCTTATTCCCCCAATCTGTGTTCCACGGAGTTGGCCACTTTTACCGACCGGAGTTTCCTGTACCGTGACTTGGTGAACATGGTTGAGCTTGATGTTGGCGCGTGACGAGGTAGGTTTCAACTTTTCAAACCAAGATGAGTTAGGAATCGAACCTTTGAACGCCCTGTGCGGAAATGGAGTCCAACTTCCGAGAGTCCTCCTGTTCTCCATCTCTCTCGGACTCTTACCTTGCGATCTTGGCTTGTCGATACCCCACACACTATCTCCACGCTACACACCCCAGGCCCCCAGCATGGGGTTTCACTTCATGGACTTTCGGGCTATTTACTTCAGTATGCTGCACGCAGTTGGCTTTCACGGATCGCACTAAACATGCATCATCTCTCCAGGCTTGATATTCATCTTGTCACTCGTTTCTATCGTCTTCATCTGGACTGAATATTCCTATCTGCCATCCAAGTCCGCCCTCATTGTTGTAACACCGATCCTGATTGCCGTCATTCTCCTCGTTTTTACATCGTAAGACGGCGTTCCAAGGATACGTCCTGTTCTGATACGCGTTTCCAGGTTCTTACTTCCGGACCTTGCGAAGCGGTGGAAATTTGAACATATATTCAAACAGACGGTCCTCTGGGAGACGGTATGGACGTCCTCCGTGGCACCGTTCGTCATAGGTTCGTTCCCTTCGACTCTTGTCGACCCGCGCGGATGATGAGTAGGCCTCAGTTGCCTGTTTGGTGGTGGCCTTTGGTCTTTCCGCCGATATCGAAGCCGACCGACCGTTCGTGACGATGAAGGTCGTTTTTGTCTTAAACGCGGCCCTCCGTAAGCACCGGTCTTGGTCAGTTTGTAGCCGGTTACCCATCGTTAACGTCTTGTACACCCTCAGTTTCAAGCTACGCTCTTCTCTTCCTCACCTTGGCCGCTGTGATGTACATAACTGGGGTCGACACCCACGTATGGCGTCGTG